GAGGGAAGCCTCACACACAAACAGGCATGGGACAATAGGTGTATAACGGAATTGTGCAATAGCACTTAAGCTCTGGCTATTTTTCTCCTGCATGAGCTCTGTAGAAATCCAGATGGCAGTCCTAAAGGCTGTGCCTTAAGCAGAAAAAAACGTACTTCTGACCTTCAAAAGGGCAAAATGAGATGGCTTCTCTGACCAGCTCTGTACCAACTATGGGGAGGCCTTTTAACTCTGTGGGTCTCGGTGTCACTACGTATAATATGAAGTGGTGGGAGTAGCCGATGTCTGAGGTCTGCTTCAGCTCTTTAAGTCTAAATTCTGAAAAACAAACAAAACTCAACGTCTTCTTCAAGGTTGGCAGGAAAACGCCTCTTCTGTGAAAGCTTCAGCAAAACCAAGACAGAGTATCTTGTGAGCTAGGACACCATTGTATTACTTTAGCCAAAACCACTCCGTGGACACCTCGATTAACTATAATTTTGTTGCACTCTATTTTTAGAAGTGGGAAGAAATATATTTAAAGATGAGCAGACATTCAGACCTTTATTGTATTTAATCCACATACATATTCCAGCCCTATCATTGAACATGATGGCCCTAGAACACTGAGAATGCCTGAATTATCAAGGGAAGATTTCAGCTTTCATAGATTTCATGCTCTCCTACCCTATATTCAGATTAAGAAGTTCCACGATCATGCTGTCTTGAAAGATCCACCATGAGGCAACTGGATTGGGGTTTCCCCAATATGTTAATTACCTAAGTCAAGGTTGACTACATACAATTTTAGAAAGCGCCCTCTTGTGGCAAAAAATAAAATAAAATAAAATTGCCAATGGCAGCATTGTCCTGAGACTATGAATACTGCCATTTATTGTACGCTTATTTCATCTCAAGGACTGGCCTGGATGTTTACATGGTAGTAAAATAAAGGACTTAAGAAAGGTAGTTTTCAATGTCATAGAACTGAAAGTCTTTTATGTCACAGAGCTCAAGCTACACCTGAAGATTTATTTTCCCCTGTGTATGCCTGAGCACCAGGAGTGGCGTCTAAACTTAGGACATTTTCCTGCGCCTTTATTGTACTTCCTTGTAGCTCTGAACTGTGGCTGAGAGGCTCTATAAGTCATGCTTTTTTTATTTCCAGCACATAGCCCCTAATTTCATGAAGAGAGAAGAGAAGAAAGGAAGCAACACTACAGACAGGGTGAATGAAAACAGGGGCCTGGGGGAACAGGGAAATCCATACCTTGTGAAAAATTCTAGAAGTCCCAGGATATTTTAATTCAAACAAAACTACTTAAGATCCATGATTATAGAGGGATTTAATGAACAACAAAGACACTTATTTATATGGTTACAATTTGTATTTTTCAGTAATCTACATCATCCTCAGACCTTTCTAGTTTCCTATGTGACTTATATAGTGAGTTTCTATACTTAGCACCACTGGTGCTCATTTCTCAAAACAGTTTGCTAAATATTGGAAATGCATTCCACACACATAGCACTGAAAAGACAAATATTTCCACATATTTCTTTTTTTTTTCTATAACAATGTCTTGATTTTTGCTCAAACACATATTTCAATTACAAGCATTCAGCCCCGTACTTAGAGAGTCCCATATCTCAGCACCCATGGAAGGGTGACCCCCTCACAAGAGCTTAAAACTCAAATGCTTACTAGCTACATAGTTCCAGTTCTGGTGTGGAAATGTGGGCTATATATGCTCAGATCCTCCAACGCTTTAAATGAAACTAGAATGCTAGAGTTTCAGGAAGCAAGCCCCCAATTTTTAAGTTTTTGAAACTTTGTAAAAAAAAAAAAAAAAAAAAACCTGTATGTCTAAGCCAAACAAAACAGGTTTTCTACCCAGATGTCCCCCTCAGTCTGCACTTTTCAGCCTCTGCCTTCAGGTCCTTTGAGGGGTGGCTTCCAAGCTGCCCCTAGCAGACACCTTCTTAAAGAGGTCCTGAGAACTCCAATGAAGAAGTTCCAGGAAAGGAAAGTTGCTCAGGGCTTCTGCTGTACTTCACATTGTTGTGGACATCTGGTGGAGGCAAGCAGCATGTAGCCTCATCATGAATTCTCTTTATTTCACATTTACTCGTATATTGGCACCAGTTTCCAAGACCGTGGGAGTTTGCAATGTCTATTATAAAGCTCTTCTCCCCACTCTCAGTAGCCATCCAGGGTCATGTCATTCTGTTACTAAAACCTGGCCTTCAAGAAAATTTATACCAGTCTTCTGGAGATTGTGAAATCTTCTGGAAAACAGAGGCACTCATCAACTAAGACACTGCAAAAATTTGAAATGAGGTCAATGCATCAGTATCTTTTCAACACTATGAGGAGAGGGCTCCTGTATTAAAGGTCTACCTAATAATTTCGTATCTTTCCCGATTAACCAAGAAAAAGGAAGACATGACCAGGGTTTTCATTTGGGGGTGGGTTTGCTCTGGGTCTTTGTGACTTCAGAATTTAAATCTCTGCTACTCTGTATGGATACAAAATGCATTTAATAAGGTCTATAAGCACTGCCTTCAAGCCAAAAAATTCTTCACTACAGAGGTGTCCTCCATTGATAGGGAGTGAATGTGAAGCCACATGTGCTTAGATTGCCCAGTGAAAGAAACAGGAGAAGTTTGTACTTTCTCAGAGCAATAGCTAAGAAGTAACTGTCACTATTTGGAAAAGGGGCTTTTTGAAGCTTCGGTTGGAGAGCAGGGTAGGGATCCCTGGAAGGGTGGTAGTAAACTCTAAGCAGGCACCACTCAGAATCCCCAGCTGGGAATTGGGCCAGCTGGCAGAATGCCAGGAGACCTACTGTTATATACATACACATACACATATATATGGAGGACTACTGTATCATGAAAATTACAGTTTCAACAGCTTGACAGTTTTCATCAGCACTGTGGGAGTTTTGCTCCTTTTTAATTTGGCTTCTTTAAAAGATGAATGGAATAAGGGCCTTCCGAGATTTGGGGTAGTCCTCAAACATCTTGAGGTAGAACCTAAAAGACAAGAAAGAAATAATTGTCAATATAATGGAGCCGTGACTGACAGCTGAGGTTTGCTGTGTCCAAGATCTTTGTTACAAGTCAACCTACAGGTATTTAGGGCCTGACTATTTCAGATGGCCATTTATGATTCTTATTTCTCCTTCCCATAGCCTATTTCTTATAAATCCTGAAGCTTCTTGTGCTGGGAAATAAAATAGGCACAGGGTAGTGGTGATGGCTGTGCGACATTATGAATGTACCTAATGCCACTGAATTTTACACTTCAAAATGGCTAAAGTGGTAAAATTTTTGTTATGTATATTTTACCAGAATTTTTTTAAAATGTGGTATCCAGAAGGAAGCACTCATTTGGATTCAGCCGAGAAACACAGGGAAGCAAAGATGATGGGCAAAGTGAACCAGTAATATTCCCCAATATCCTTTCATGAGGCCTGGGAATGCCAACAAAATATCACCTTGTCTTATGGGTTGAATTTTTCCCCCCAAAAGATATGTTGAAGTCCTAACCCCCAGTGCCTGAGAGTGTAATTTTTTTTTTTTTGGAACTAGGACTATTGCAGATATAATTAAATTAAGATGAAGTCATACTGGAGAAGGGTGTGCCCTTAATCCAATATGGCTGTGTCCTGAAAAGAAGAGGATAAGAGACAAAGAGACGGAGACAGAGACACCCAGGGGAGAAGGCCATGCCGCGGAACACCAAGGGTTGCCGGCCACCACCAGAAACTAAAAAGAGGCAAGGAAGAATTCTTCCCTAGAGCCATTACAGGGGGCGTGGCCCTGCCAGTGCCTCAGTTTCAAACTTCTAGCCTCCAGAACTGTGAAAGGACAAATCTGTGTTGTTCAAGCCACCCAGTTTGTGGTAATGTGTTGCAGCAACCACAGGAGACAAATGCATCTTAAAGAATCCTTTCTCCTTTAGTTGCCAGGCTGTCCTTCTAACTAGTTGTGACGGTAGCCCTCAAGGTATAAGCAAGATGATACACTGTTAAAGTACCTGAGTTTGAATTAAGGAGCAAATAATCAGGTAAAAAAGGTGGCTGGGTTTTGGGACTGTGATTTGAGAAGTCTGGTGGGCCGCCTCTGTGCATGCTGCCTCTGCTGTGAGGGCCTGCCTTTGTTTTATAGGAGCCTTCACAAAATCCTGTTAACCTATTAAAAACTATGCCCTTTGGCCCTTCTCTGGCAGTCTGACATAAAAGGATGAGGCCTCAGTTTCGGTTTTGTTGTTGCAGTAGCTGAAAATGTCTAGTGGAATTACTGTCCCTTCCCTAACCAAGCACGGTGGAGTCCACACATCCCAGGGACCCTCCAAGTGCTGAGTGCTGCCTTCTCTTCTCCCATTCCCACTCTGCCTCTGATTTTTTTTAAACCAAGAAATCAGGTTTTAGTCCACGCTTCCCAGAGACCCTCCAAGTGCTGAGTGCTGCCTTCTCTTCTCCCATTCCCACTCTGCCTCTGGTGGGCAGCACACCCAGCCTGAAATGGTAACGTGGGAAGTAGAAAAGTTCCTCTTCAATGTTTCCTTTCTTATTAAAGAATAATCATAATAAGTGTTAGAAATAAGAGTTTGTTTTAAATACTTTCTTCAAAGCTTTCTTGCTTTTTACTAGTAGCTCTCTGGTAAGCCCTATCCTATGTAGCTGTTAGGCTCACAGGCATGTAGTACATTCTATGTCCTTGTACTTTAACCAAGATACTTGTGCTAGACATGTTTACAGATAGTTAGCACATTCTATGTCCTTGTACTTTAACAAAGATATTTATGCTATTACTTTTCTAAGTCCTTTCCTAAGCAACTTCCTTCCCTTCCTTATTTGGACTTCCTCTTTTCCTTTTGTTCTCCATTGCTTTTATCTGTTTAGAAAAGTTTTAAGTTGTTAGCCAATCATGTTTTAGTTTAGATTGTGAGGTCTGGCTCCAACCAACAGAGATCAGACACAGTGGTAAGGATGACCCCAAATGCATAAGGGATAAATATGTCTGCTTTTCCTTTGCTTGTTGTACTCTCATGGCAAGACTGCTGGTGAGTGTAACCTTTCTGCAAGAAGTAAAAATTGCCTTGATGAGAGATCCTTTGTCCCAGTGCTGACTTTTCTTTGCGGCACTGAAAATTTACATGTAACAGTAAGAACTGTTATGACTCTCTTATGGACTAGGAACCTTCTGACACTCGCCCCCACAGAGTCTAGGAAGTGGTAGGAATAGGTCACGAGCTGTTGCTTCATTCATTTCAGAGCTGTTGTCCTCAAACAATTCTTCTCAAAAAAAAAAAGAAACTCATTCTTACCTAAACTTTCAAAATTAGGCAATGAATCATACCCCTAGGGTTCTGGTTCCAAGACCATACATTCCTTCTTTGAGTATCCATACAGTGTCCAGTAATTATAGGCTTTCTCTTTCCACAAAAGGTATTTTAGGGAAAGGATCTGAAATTTACACTTGGATTTAAAGCCTGATAACAACTTAATTCGTTACCTTTCACTTCCAGCAATGCTTTTAGTTAATTCTTTTGTCCCCACTCCACCCCAGGTTAGCGGGTTAGTGAAGCCTTAGGCCAGGTCTTCAGAGGAAGGATTCCGAAACACCTGCAATTCCTAGCATTTCCCAGCAGATGGGGCAGTCCTAAGATTGCCCCACACATGCAATTGTTTGTCCTATCTTCCCCAGAAGCCAGTGTTGACCTGGATTATGACTTATAGAGGGTGGGTGTCAGGGAAGGAGGGCAGTACCAAAATAAGCACTGGTATTGCACAGACTCTAGGGGAAATAATCTTTCTGGAATTTCCAGGAATCTGTGATTACCCGAACTGTTAGCACCAAATCTTGTAGCCAAAAATAGCAGCCACACAGGCACCAAGATAGTATTTTTTTAGTAGCTTGCTAGCCTGCTATGACTCAGATATCGGTAGAGGCCAGGCACGGTGGCTCATGCCTGTAATTCCAGCACTTTGGGAGGCCAAGGCAGATGGATCACTTCAGGTCAGGAGTTTGAGGCCAGCCTGGTCAACATGGTGAAAACCTGCCTCTACTAAAGTTAGCTGGGCATGGTGGTGGGCTTGCAGTCTCAGCTATTTGGGAGACTGAGGTGGGAGAATTGCTTGAACCTGGGAGGTGGAGTGAGATGAGATCACCCATTGCACTTTAGCCTGGGCAACAGAGTGAGACTCTGACTCAAAAAATAAGAATAATAAAAATACATTAAAATTTAAAAAAAAAAAAAAAAAAACCCCGTCAACTATTATCAACTATCTGTGGAGCTTTGGAAAGTACTGGCCATGGTCCCGCACATGGAGCGCACTGCCAGAAATGTGGTGGGAGAGGATGAAATTGAATCATGGTAATGGAAGCTGCTGCTTCTGCTTCTTGAAGCTTTATCTAAGCATCTGCCTGGCGGGCACAGAGCCTGGTCAACTAACTCATGTTGGTGCAAGGCACTTCTTGCTGGATAGTCTTCTTCAACTAGACAGGCACAGGACCTTCCTGGTCGTCACCTCAGTTACCTCTGTCTCCATGGACTTATTTTTGTTCTTAGAAAAAAAATTATTACTGCTACTCTCATCCAGCTAACTTCCAACTTCAGTAAAAGCCCAATATGTCAGAATATACTAACCCAGATTATTGTATCAACCTTCCCTTATAAAAATAAATATATTCGGTTTCTAAACCTTGCTCTGCAGGTTAAAAGCCTGTTTAGAGAAGAAAAAAAGCTACGTGAATGCAGCTACTTTTATTGGAAAGTTTACCTATGGTGGTGAAAAGCTCGCAGCCCAAGGAAACAAAGTGAGAAAAATGCAAATGCAAGTGCTGGGAGGGACCAAGTGGCCAGGGCAAAGCCGATCCATTCAATGATCTCACCGAAGAAATTGGCTCCAGAAACATATGTAAACATGCCACCTGTGTGCAGAAGAATTGGAAGGTCAATCATTGCAACTGAATCACTGTGACATTAAACCCCTCTGTGTTGTTCCAAAATACACAAAGGCACAAAGAACAAATGTGGGGCTGGAGACTCCCTCCATAGTCTTAGAAGTTTGGTGGAATCCTCTTGGAGAGAAGGGGAAGCAAAGCAACAACAGCCTGTTGCCTGGAAAACATTCCAGAGTTGCGAAGAGTGGACCCAACTGCTCGATGGGCTCTATCCAAATCTCTAACAACTGCTGGACCACTAACTTTGGGTAGGACAAGGGAGAGGTGTGGGAGGTCTGGGTTTTGTATCATTCTATTAAGGAAGGGGCCACCTCTTACCTCCCCACTTCTTTCCTGGACACATTCACAGTCCCAAAACGTGAAACTGCGTGCTACATTAAAATAATACAAATCTGAACTTATGGGAGAAGGAATTTAGATTCTCTTTTGGGATTTGCCCCTCCCCACCCTTCTGCAAAGCACTCTACTCTGTTCCTGTTTAAAGTATGGAGTAGGAGCTACAGGTATTTGTCCTGCTGGAGGCTGGTGAGATTGGCTTCTTGATTTTAAATGTTTCGTTTTCTATCCAACCAAGTATTTCTTCTCTCAGAACTGTATCTAGAAATCAACATATTTCTAATGATATTAAATATATCCGCACTCAAATTTTATGACCCACATTAAACTAGGGAAGTTTCAACCAAAACAATTTTGTTCTTTCTATAGTTATGTAAAAATACTTTGTTTTTAAATCATTCTCTATTATAAATCAAAAGTTGGGAACTAATCTTGGCAACTGGTTTTTAAGCTCTTTCTCTGCTCTTCTTTATTTATCTAGTTATGGAGTGAATGTTTTTAAAATCTAAGCTCCTTAGAGTTGAATATTTCTTGAAAATAAGATTGCATCAGTGGTTCCCAACCTGCTATTCTCTAGGCCCTGGGAGGAACCATAGATCTAGTGCAAAGGATCTATAAATCATTTATGAATATAGTAAATAGCACATCTTAACCTATTAAGTTATTTTTGTTTGACGTATATACTGTTAGGATATTAACAACATTCAAATTCATTTGAATATGTTACTGAATTTATAGGAACTTTGTCATTAATTTCTTATTCAATTACTATTAATGTGCGCTAACATCATGTCATAATTGAGGCAATTTTGGGATGTAAATAAAGGATTGTATTTCCATCAGAAAGGGTGGAAGCCACAGACCTACACAAATACCCATCTAAACCTATTGAAGGATTACTTGGACTGATTCACTCCTATCTGGGTATATTTATCAATCTCTTAGCTTGGTTTCTTTGGAACAGTTAGGATTACAAATATGCTGCAAAAATGCACTTGTGCTTTTCTATCTCCAAAAATGAACTTGTGCATGTAAGACCTCCCATCCTAAGTTTTGATCAAGTAAATATTGTTCTCTACACCTTTAAGAGTATACAAGTAGCAGGAAATACACATATTCTACCCTTAACTGCTCATAAGACAAGCCTAGATCAATTGGAGGGGACACATTAATTGGCCAAACATTCAGCAGCATTTGCAAACCTAGAAAGAATGAGCCCTCTGTACATGACAATCTTACCTACTGCAATGAGGTTGTAGGTAGCCAATTCTAACCCTACTCAAACCTCCCACTCTCTCCCACCTTCCGGGTATTGCAGTCTCACAACTTCCTGAGGGCTCTGGTAGCTCTCTGGAGCTTCTGGGTTCAGATCAGAAGAGCAGTTGCGCTGTGATGGCACTGGGTATGCAGGGGAAGTCAAGAGCAAGCTGAGAGCCATTGCATCATCTGTGCCCTCACTGTGTCTCTCCATCTGCTACCACAGTGTCATTCTTAAGACAGGCTCCAGGAAAGAATGGGAGTCTGGGGGCAGGAGAGGCATTACCTTGTGGAATCCTATAGATGATTTCTCCAGGCTTCCTGAGCTGGCACAATATGTAGTCACTATGAATGTTGATTCCCATTCCCAAAAGAAATAAGAAGACACCTTGACAAAGAAGAGAGAAAAGAGAATTTCTTTTTAAATGTGTGCAGATTTGGGTGCTTTTTTTCACAAGCTAAGCTAAAATGAAAAAGGGGCATTTAATTCCTAATAATGAAGGGAGGTGCATTTAATTTCTAAAGAATTGTCCTAAGACATGGCAAAAAGCAGGGAGGGCAATGAGTCCTGGTTCTGAATGGGGAGCAGGTGTGCTGTTTCCTAGACTCAGGCTGAAAGTGCACAGTGGCACCACCGATGGAGACAGACAGGAAGAGAGAGAAGAGCAGGAGGCAGCACCATTGACCAGTATTCAAACAGATAAACAAATAAATGAACGGATCATAATAGTTAGCCTTTAGCTCATTCACAGTCAAATCAAGGTTGCATATCTCAACAGCCAATTCCAGCCCCTTTTCCTTTGCCATCTCCCACTACAGAGGTTGAACTGAGAAAGGTGGTCACATGAGCTAGTTTCACCAATAAGATGTAAAGTGAAGTCTCGGTGAGGGGACTTCCTTGGCAATTGTTTGCTTTGCTGATAAAAAGGTGCAGGCAAGACCAGTGCCCCTACTTCCTCCTTCTTCCTGTCTTGATTGCCGGATGTAATGCCTTGAGCCTCAGTCACCGTCTTTCAGCCATGAAGTGACTAACAAGAGGACCATAGGTAAACATGCTAAGAATAGCGGAGACAGAAAGTGCCTGAGTTATCCGTGGTGTCGGTAAGCAACAACAGGAATGCAGAAGCCACCTACTTTGACACTTCTTGTTATGTAAGAACTATGAATTCTGAATTATTTAGTCACTATTGTTTGGTTTTCTGAGCGCATTCCCGACTGAAACACTCACTCTCATGAAAATAACGTGAACTCGTTTGGAGGGCTTGGCCACTAACAAACTAACTCCCACCACTGACAATTCACACACACACACACACACACACACACCCTGACATACTACACACACTGTTCACATCTTTATTTATTTTACTTAGCCACGTATCCTGGAGTTGTCTCCACGTGCACTATCCACTGGTACAGAAAGGGTCTTGTCCTGAGGTGAGGAGAGCCAGGATCAGGATGCTAGATCCTGCATCCCCAAGGGCATTATTACAGCCCAGAAACACCCACTGTCCCACATAGAGGTCCAACCCGACCTCCCAGCAAAGCACATTTGTGCTTTTCAAAATATATTAGGCAAAAAGCAAGAACAGTTTAGTAAAAGCGATCAGGTCTATTCTCGCCTTATTTGATATGATATAAAACAAGGATTTCCCACCTTGTCTAGTCAAAAGATCATTGGCCTGGAAGAAAGGGTATCTGAGGAGGGATGGTAGAGGAGCGGGGAGGGGAGGGTTACAGCACACACAGCAATGGAGAAAAGCAGGGACCTGGGACCAGCTGTCTGTGTGTCCTTGAGCAAGTCACTTCAGCTCTCTCAGCCTCAGTTTCCTCATCTGTAAAATGTAAATTCTAACAGTACCAATCTCACAAGAATGGTATGAAGACCATCCATGCATTCATTCCATCATTCATTTATTCAACTAATATTAATTGAGAGCTTACTGCATGCCAAGCACTGTCCTAAGCACCAGAGCTACAGGAGTGAGAAAACGGTCAAGGTATCTGTGGCCATGCAGCTTACATTTTAGTGGAGGGATACAGACATGAATTTTAAAAAAATTAAAGTAAAAAAAAATCACATAATAATCACTGCAAGGCAGAAAAATCAAAGTAGGATCATGAGACAGAGAGTAAAGTGGGGTGGAGACCGTCTCTATTTTACATGAGGTAGCTAAGGGAAAGTTTTCCTGAAGATTTGACATTTGTCCTGTGATTTGAATCATGTGAATGCAAAAAATCTGAGGGACAACAATCTGGTAGGGGGACAAGAAAGACAAAGGCCTGGTTCACCTGAAGCTTGAGGATACAGTGGGCTGGAGGAGACGGGGACAGGATGCTAAGTAAAAAGCCACAGCAAGTATTCTAGGCCTTGGTGAAGGGTTTGCATTTTTAGGTGACGTAGGAGGTCCTTGGTGTTTTAAGCAGGAGGGAACTGGAGTCCGATTTCTGTTTATTATTATTGCAAAAGAAATAAAAATGTTGTATAGAATATTGAACAGTAATTAGCAGACATAAAGAAACCAAGATACTTATTCCTACCACACACAAATTGCTACTGTTAAACACTTTAGTGTCTATCCTTCCAGATTTTCATCTTACTCAATATTCAGGCCATATTTCAAATTCCTCAGATATCTCCCACATGTCTACTTAAAGGTGGTTTGTGCAAGCCAAAATCCAATATAGGATTATGCCTAGCATCTGCTAGTTACGTCCAGGCTTTTGTAATCTAGCTCAGATCCTTGGCTTTTTCTTCCAGGACACTGACTTGTTGAAGAGATCTGGCAGTTGTCCCTTAGAATGTCCGTTTTTTTTTTTTTTTTTTTAATACGACCAGCTTATTTCCACTGTATTTCCTGTAAAATGGCATAAGCCATTTTCCTATGTGGTTATATTAAAAGCTTAATATACAGATAGGTACATTTGTGTTTTTGTTCTCAAGTTCAGGAAACTTTTTTCAATTTAGGATTTAAAAAAAATAAGTAATGAAATTTCATAATTCAAAAGACAAACTATATTGAAGGAAAAGCTCTGCCTGCCCACTCTGCCCCCTTTACCCTGAGTTATGTAGGGAAACTTTTTATTAAGTTTTTTACAATTTCAATATTTCAATTTCCAATTATACACAGCAACACATACTATCCTTCTATTCCATTCCTACGTAAAGAGTAGCATACACTACTTGCTACTTATAAATGTGTAGCGGGCATTCTATGCATAAGTTATTTGTTTTTATTTAAACATAGATTCTGGAGGTGTCTCCACATGAACACACAGAGATCTTAGTTTGCTTTGATTTTGTTTTTGTGTTTCTTTCTTTGTGTTTGTGGTCACAGAATATTCTATGCATATACCAGTACCACACAGCTAATCCTCTGGTCATTTGTGTTTTCAAATGTTCACTGTGACTGTTTTGTGGAGAAAACAGTGCACAGGATGGAATGGAGGTAGAAAGTTCAGCTTGGAAGTTATTTTGGAAGACCAGGCAAGAGGTGATTGTAGCATGGACTAGGATGAAGTAATTTAGGGAGAAGTGACCCCAGCGGGCACATGTTTTAGAGGGAGAGCCAGAAGAACTAAGCTGCTGGAAGGAATGTGATGTGTGATTCTAATAGGAATTAAGCATAATTCCCACTATCCTATTATTTTTTCATTTAGGCCAAAATAGTGTAAAAAAAAATGAATCTTCCTGGACTTTAACTCCACTTAAAGAAAATGAAAGGCCGGGCGCGGTGGCTCAAGCCTGTAATCCCAGCACTTTGGGAGGCCGAGGCGGGTGGATCATGAGGTCAAGAGATGGAGACCATCCTGGTCAACACGGTGAAACCCCGTCTCTACTAAAAATACAAAAAATTAGCTGGGCATGGTGGTGCGTGCCTGTAATCCCAGCTACTCAGGAGGCTGAGGCAGGAGAATTGCCTGAACCCAGGAGGCGGAGGTTGCGGTGAGCCGAGATCGTGCCATTGCACTCCAGCCTGGGTAACTTGAGTGAAACTCCGTCTCAAAAAAAAAAAAAAAAAAAAGAAAATGAAAAAAAAAAAAAAAAAAACTCAACAATCAGTGTCTTCAACTATTTTAGATAGGGTGGTCCGGAAATGTCCCTTTGAGGAGGTACAAATTGTTGAAGATCTGAATATAGTGAGGGACCAATCCCATGAATATATAGGGGCAAAGCCTTCTAGGCCAAGGTTGTCCAACCCACAGCCTGTGGGCCACTTACAGCCCAGGACAGTTTTGGATGCGACCCAATACAAATTCGTACACCTTCTTAAAACATTATGAAATGTTTTTTAGCTCATCAGCTATTGTTGGTGTTAGTGTATTATACGTGTAGCCCAAGGCAATTCTTCTTTTACCAGTGTGGCCCAGGGAAGCCAAAAGACTGGACACCCCTGTACTAGGCAGAGGGAGAAGTCCTGAACAAAAACACTGGGGCAGGAAAAGCTTGACAGGCTCTGGCACAGCAGGAAGGCCATTGGCACAGGAGCACAGAAAAGGAGGTGGAGGGAGCCAGGAAAAGAGGCTGGGAAACTGGAACGACCAAAACGTTTAGGATTTATAGGCTGCGAGAAAAAAATTGTATTTTATCTTGAGAGTAAAAGAAATCTACTGGAGAGTTTTGAGATAGGAAATGGCATGATACGTATTTACACAATCCCTCTGGCTACCATAGAGAGAAAAGACTAAGGTAGGTGTGAGGGGGGCGGACGATGAGATCATTAGGAGGTTATTACAGTAGAGAGAGGCCATGGCCACATAGACTGTGGGAAGGGTTGTTAGCTGGGGAGTAGGTGAGAGTGGCCAGATTCACTTACCCAAGCTAAATCGTATGTCTGTGTACCACTCATCAGGGTATTCAGCACAGTAAATCAGGTAGTAGCCTTGAAGGAATCCATTTCCAGCACAGAAGGCAATGCCTTGGAAAATGAGTAGAACTGGATAAGGCCTCCCTCGACTGAGCAGTGGGTAGACAAATGTCCTGGAACACATGGGAGGAAAGGTTAAGATCCATTATTCAAAAAGAAAACAGTCAGACAATAAGAGGAAAAGGTTTCAAACAGATAACCATATCAAACCCATTTTTACAACTGTTTTCCGTTACGTCTGTGGAATGAAAGTACATTATTATCTGGTTCTAGAACAACAATTTATGCTATAATTTGGCCCTTTCCATTAAAATTTATAGTAGCCACAATTAAGTATCTTATTTTAATCTCACAACACCCTTGAAAGGTGAGTATCATCCGCATCCAGTAGTTAATAAGTTAAATTTTATGAGCTCAGGATTGGAGAGCAGCTTTCTATAAACCTAGAAGTGAAATCTAGTTTATATTAGAAGAAAGGTAAAGCCTGGTTTACACCAAAAAGTGGAATGGCATTTTGATAGCAACCACTTAGCCACATGGCTTTCCATAATGTTTTTCTGATATGGTTAGTTACTGATATTATGCATTCCCAGAAAGTGGACTGCAGGGTCCCTTGAGAAAAGACACACAACACACACACACACACACACACACACACACACACACACAGAGAGAGAGAGAGAGGGAGAGGGAGGGGGGGGAGAGAGAGAGAGAGAGACCCATCTAAATATAAGAAACTATTAATCTGGAGGAATCTAGGAAGAAGGGCTTAAAAAATATAAATACGCCCCAAATAAAAATTTACCTAAGATATAATACTAAAGACTAGACCACAATCTATATGACAATCTATACCCCCTTTATGACTGTTCTTCCCTTATGGTGCCATATAACAGTTCTACAGGAAAGTTCATAGTGAATGAACTTTTGTACATTGTGAATAGTTTTTGTGAATAGTTTAATAATTAACTATCAAATAAACAGCCCCATAACCAGCAATGAATTAAAGAAACATAACAATGCCATCACTCAGAAACCTCTCATGTGTCCCTTCCTGTTCACAGTACCACCATCACCCCGGAGGTAACCACTATCTGAGGATTTAGTTTTTAATAATTTTTCCTTTCTTTCTTTTTTTTTTAATAATTTTAGCACATTTGGGAGCTTTCCTAAAAATACAGTTTATTTTGCTCATTCTTAACTCCGTAAGAGTGGAATCATACTCTGATTCTTAGACTATCCTTTAACACCTATTTCTTTAACTCATCACTCTGTTTGTGAAACTCAAGCATGCTGTTGTGTACAGCTATATTTGGGTTGCTTCCTGAATGTTCATACCCACTCTGAGATTATTTTGCTATAGCTCCCAACTTTCCCATAATTTGAATGATTTCCTTTTTATGTTTAGACATTTGATATATCTGGAATTTCTTTTGTTCTGAGAAGTTAGATAAGAAGTCAACTTAATTTTTTTCTGATGTTAGTAAATTTACTAAATGTCTCTTTCCCTACTGATATGCGTTGCTGTTGGTTATTATACCCTAAATTATTATATGTATTGGTTCTTTTACTGAGTTCATGGTTCTGTTCCATTGATCTATTTATTGCCACTACCACACTGTTTCAATCATTGTAATTTTAAAACATGTCTTAATTTTGATTGAGCCTATTCTTTCATTACACTTTTTGAGATATTTTCAAGTCCACAATAGGTAAGTCCTTAGAGACAGAGAGTAGATTAGTGGTTGCCAGGGGCTGGGGCAGGGAGGAGTGACAGTGACTGATACAGGGTACAGAATTTCTTTTGGGGGTTGATGAAAATGTTCTGGAATTAGATTGTGGTGATGATTGCACAACATTTTGAATATACCAAAGCCCACTGAATTGTACATTTTTAAATGGTGGATTTTATGGTGTATGAATTATATCTCAATTTTTAAGTTAATTGAGAGAAAATTCAGGCAGTGTTGTATAGGGGTTAAAATTTAGGGTCTTGAACTTGCTGCATGACCTTGTCACTTCACTTCATTGTGTCTGTTTCTTCATCTGCCCACCTTATAAGACCAGGCCATGAGGATTAAGATGAAAAGGGCTCAAAACAGTCCAAATAAGAGAGCACAGTACATGTGTATATTGTTGTTGTTACCTTTATTATGTTGTGGTTAACATCACCTTTCTGTTCAGGTGCAGGTTGTACCTTTCTACTTATTCAGATCTTTTCAGTCTCTCAGTAGGTTTTAAGGTTTCTTCACCGCTGCACATTTTTTTGTTATTTTTAATCCCAGATTTCATACTTTTTTTGTTACTGTACATGAGATTTTCCATTTACATCTTTTAACTGTTTGTTTTACATGTAAAGGAAGACCTTTGATAGTATTAATTTTGTTCTCAGTCCTATCCTGAATTTCCTTATTTATAATCATTTTTCAATTTATTTTCTAGAATTTCTGCAGCACCTGCAAATAATGTTTGACTCTTCTCTTAGAAAGAATCTCAACATCTTCATCTTTTGGCCATGCTCTTGAATGACATAAATAGCATTAGCATTACCTTGTCTTTAAAGATTTTGAAATCCATCTAGAACTGTTTTATTGGAAGGAGAGGCTGTTGATATTTGTGATGGCTCATCTTACCTATCAACTTGACTGGACTGAAGGATACCCGGATAGGTTGTACAACATTATTTCTAGGTGTGTCTATGAAGGTTTTTGCAAAAGATATTAGCATTTGAACCAGTAGACTGAGTAAACAAGATCCACCCTCAGCAACATTGGAAGGCATCATCCAACCTTTTGAGGGCCCTAATAAAACAAGACATCAGAGGAATGGTGAATTTATTCTTTTTGCTTGAGATGGAACATCCATCTTCTCCTGCCGTGAGGTATCAGAGCTCCTGGTTCTCAGGTCTTTTGATTCTGGCACTTACACATACTCACTCCTCTCCTTCCGAAACCTCCTGATTCTCAGGCCTTCGGGCTCAGACTGAATTAGACCACTGGCTTTTCTGATTTTCTAGCTTGCAGAAAATATGTCAGGGGACTTCTTGGCCTCCATAATAGAGTAAACCAATTGCCATAATAAATCTCTTGTATATTTATACATATACATCCTATTGGTTCTGTTTCTCTCGAAAACTCTAATACAATATTATTGACAATAAGATCTCTATTTGTCTCATGGTAATTGGTTTGTGTAGATTATGTCTTCAGGGACATCTTATGAATTCTGGAAAATTTATGTTTTCATAGAAATAGAAGGTCATTCTTATTATTCAAGTTTTTAAGTGTATTTGTATAAGACTGACAATATAATATCTTATGAAATTTTTAAATTGTCAGCATATTTTCTTATTACCCCAACAGCACAAGTATCTGCTATGCTGCCCTTTCTTAGTTGCAGCCATATGCCCTTCCCCAACCCCTAGTAATCACTTTCTGTTATCTCTTTCTATATTTTTATCATTTTAAGATCCTCTAAATAGAATCACACATATGTAACTCTTGTAAACTGGCTCTTTTTATGCAGTGTCAATTCCCTCAAGATTCATCCAAGTTCTGTGATATATTTTTAAACAAAAAAAGAAATTTGAAAAATAGGATATGTATAGTGTGCTAATCTTTTGTAATCCAGAAAGGGAAATCGTAAAACATACATATGTATTTGCTTCTTTCTTATAAAAGTATTATCAAGATATAATTTACATACATAAGATTCACTCTTTTGGGTATTCAAAAGAATATTGACTGTAGTTAACTGTAAACACTGAATAAATAGAGACCTATAAGTTGATAATGATACTTTTAAAAAGATGTTAAGACATTTGTTAACATTGGAGGTGACAATTATTATACTAAATTCTTACTCTGATAAAATGTAACTAAAAGGATAATTAAGTATTTATCCTATATCTCATGTTCCCACCTTCTTAAATTAATTAATAAGTGAAACCTTTTCTTTTTGGAAGGACAGCAACTAATATATGGAAAACTAATTTTAAAGTTTGAAAAACAGGATTCCAAAGTATTATCCCAGAGATTATATGCTGATAACAAGAGAAAACAATTTTATAATGGTGGGCTCTATAGGTCATTATTTGAACAAAATGACCAAACTTGGCACCACTGAGAATGGGAGAATTCATTATTACTTACCTCCTGACATGATGCACCATGAGTTCTGCAGCATCACCAATGAAGTGTTCTTGACAAAACTGTAACCTGAATCTAATCAAAACCTTACAACTAACTTTCACTAAGATGAAAAAGAGGAGATAGAGTGAAAATTTAATTGGCACCAAGAGGAAAAGATAAATGCAGAGTATGAGATATTCTATTACTGGCCCTCTTCAAAAAGTCACTGTCATGGTTCAAAAAGATATATGAGGGAGAACAGTCAGTTCTAGATGAAAAGAGATGCAAAAGCAATAGCCCTTAATGTATGATGTTTCAATATATCTTTTCAATGTTTTGAAAAATTAGCTATCAATAACATCTGGAAGAAAAGGCAGTTGAGGAAATCTGAACATGAATTGGATACCAGATTGTTATTGATGGCAGTGGCCACTCCAGATATCTTGCTGCTGCCATCATGCCAGCTGCAACAGGAAGGCACAGCTGGGGCTGCACACTCCATGGAGCCAGAGGGAGCATGGCCCCTTCTGAGTTGGAGCAGGAGCTCCCTGGGTACTGCTGCAGCTGCCCAAACCACGGCTGCAGACCCAGGCTTCTCACTCCACAGAGCAGGCAGGAGCACCACTCCCCTGGGTGTAGCTGCCCAAACTGCAGCTGCAGACTCAGGCATCTCTGCACTCTTGGGGACCCAGGAAGGACCCCCTGCCCTCAGAGCCTAAGAAGTGCCTTCCCCTGCTTCCTAGTTTCTCCCTGCTGAAGGCACCCTCTCCCACCTCCAAGCAAAGTCTCAGCTGAGCCCTGGGACCATGAATGGCAGCAGGAGGCAGATAGATTCCTGGGCAGATGAGAGTAGGTCCCTGGGAAGGCCCCACCTTCAGGCCAGGGAGGGCCTGAAAGCTGCAGGCCAAATGGCCAGACCCACGCCAATGGGAGTGGGGACTTGTGGTGCCTCTTCTGTACCCAACCGTGGACCAATTGGCATGCAATTTCTCCCCTCTGAGGTCCATAAATGCCACCCTGAGTTTAGCCAAAGCAGGGCAGAGGACGAAGAGATGACCAGCTGCAGAGAGGATCTACCCTCTCTGGGCCTCCTCTCCGCTGGGAGCTGCAGATGTTGGAGTAACCTGCCTGCAGAGAGGAGCTACCCTCTCCAGGACCTCCTGTCTCCTGAGTGCTGAACATTGGACAAGATGACCTGCTACAGAGAGGAGCTACCCACTGTGGTCTCCTCTGAGCTGCTCTGATACTCAATAAAATTCCTCTTCATCTTATTCACTCTCCACTTGCATGCATACCTCATTCTTCCTGGATGCAGAACAAGAACTCAGGCAAAGGTGCCACTGACCAGAGGCTTCTGGCCAGAAAATCAACACCCCAAAATTCCCATACCATTGTTATTAAGGATTTGTTATTTTTCCTGGATGTGTTGTTTTGTCAGAGAGCATCCTTATTCTTAGTAGAGCCATACTGACATGGTTCCAAATGGATCATCAAAAATATAATTATTTTTATTAAAATTACGTATGAGAAATATAAAGAAAAATTTCATAATGTTAATAATTGTTGACTCTAGGTGTCAGATATATAGGTGTGGGATTTCTTTATCTGTTTGAGATTTTTCACTGGAAGAAAAAAAATGTTGGGGAAAAGAAAACTATTTAACCAAGAAATCTAACCAAACAAAAAGCAACCAAAAGAAAAAGTTTCAGTGAAAAAATCCAGGTAAAAGGACAGAGGGTGGGCATTGAATATACTGAAACAAAGAACTAATATTAAATAACTACAGGAATTATGGTTACACTACTGAATATAAATGTGAAGAGCCTCAACAACAATGTAAAACTGTAACCAATAAAATTCACAGGGTTGAGAGAGGTGGTGAAAAGACACGTGGATGAATTTTTTCTTTCTCATCCTTTGTAGCAGCAAGTCAATAGGTACGCATGTAGTTGGAGGAGTAGGAGAAAGAAGAGAACTTGAAAAAATATGATGACCTCAATCCTTTTTAATTTTTGAATTTTTTTCTTGTCTTTTTGAGAAATTAGCAATATCTCTTGAGGTGAGGAAACAAGTTTTTAATATTCAGAAATTTCTTCAGTTTCATCTGTTTCTTTTTCTCCAGTTAAATTCAGATAAAACCACATTGAGTACATTTTATTAAGATATCATATGTTGTGGATGCTTGTTTTTTTTTGAAAAGTTGTCAATCTATCTCATTTCCTACCTGCACATGCATATAGGGGGATGCCCAATGAGTGGTTTGTTCAGTGTTAACAGCACTTAATTCTAGAACATGGCTTTAAGGTGTTTTATTTCTTCTCTGTGCACTTCTATATTGGTTAAATTTTTGTACTGGTGATGGATTATTTGTTTCGAAATGGGTCATTGTCAAAAAAAAGAGCTTCCGTTTACAAACTATTAGCAGCTTGTATGATGTCTAAATAACAAAAAGACAATGGAAAAATTCAGTCATTGAACTCATTCATGATCCTAGCCTGACCCGTTTGTTCTTCTGTATTTATCAGTTCTTTTAAAATAAATAATCCAATGGCAACTTCTGGGGCTAAATTCAATTATAGAGTTTTCTGAAAATTGTGGGTTGACTTCAGTTAAAAGTTGAAGAAAGATTTTTGTTGTTGTTGTTGTCAAATAGGAAACTAGCATGGGCTGTTGCACCACTTGCTCTCAAATTCAATCCTAGAGAAATGACAGGCTGAAGGATATTATCTGGTGGGTGGGCTGGGAGCTGTGGCAGCATCTTAGGACAAACAATAACCTGATGCAGCACAGAGGAAATTTTACATTCTACTCTTGCCTCACCTCTTCTCTTATGTTCCTCTGCCCCTTCCTTGCCTATTGCCACGGTGATGAGCAACGGCCCAAGCTGCCTGGGATCTATGAAATCACATCTGGGGAGTGCAGAAATTCCACTGGAGTAGGCAGTGATGAAAACAGGCACAGACTAGCCAGCTACCCTAAGACATTCTCTCCAAATCCCCATGGCCAGGCTAGAGGATTGCAACCTACAATCTCCTTGTCCGAGTGCTGCTTCTTAGAGTCTGACAGCCAGTTGCCTGGAAAGACATGGGAATTTTGGGGACAGCAGTTTTGTGGTGTTGGACGTCTCACCCTGAGTTTCATCCCCACCTCTTCTTTAAGCTCACACCAGAAGGAAGACCAGGCTCCGGCATTTACCCTTAACCCAACACAAATTGTCTTCTCCAGGAAGATGTGTATCACAGGCCAAAATAATTACATATCTGAAAAGTACAACCACTAAGAAATGATCAACAACATATAATATATAATGTATGTAACAAATAATGAAGAACATATACCATGCAAAGTGGAATTATCGTGACAGAACAACAATTTTAAATAAGTACAATAGATTTCCTTAAAGAAATGTTTTGTTCAAGGCAGAAAAAATACTCACTTAAAAAGAACTAAATAAAAATAATTTGTCAAAAATCGTAAACCCTATTAGTGACAGAGTAAGAGCAAGAGCTAGGTCTTCTGATAATCCCAGTTTTCTACACTAAACCTTTCTAATTAATCCTGAATTGGTATTTTCAAAAAGATGTACTGTCACTGTATGTGCATGAGTGACAAACTCAAAAAAGAGAATCCATAGTTAAGTAAGTTTGGGATCTATAAAATCAGACAAGACCTAACATTTACTCATTGCGGGATTTCTTCAAGTCACGACAGGCTAAGGATATGGTGAGTCTCTGAGAAGGACCCCCAAGTTTGGCACATTCATCACAGAATTGGAGCTCCACTCCAGAAAATGCTTTTCTAAACAGGGCAGATAATCCTATACAGACTATTGGACCCTGCAGCTTTGAAAATTGATATTTGATTCTGTAAATTTCATATTCATTTTTTCTCTCTCTCTCTTACACACACATACGCATGCACACACACAAGCACAAATGCATCCACACATGCTCATGCTAGACAACCACACACATCTCCAGGGCATTAATCTGATCTTCTGCAGACAAGAAAGAGCAGACAAGATCTGCAGATTTCACAGATAATCACAGGTGCATTTTGGATAGGAACACCTATTCTTCAAAGTCAGGGAAGTTTGTCTTAGATCTCCTCAAAAACAGGAAGTCTAAGAAAAGCCCTGGTATTCACGTCAGGGATGAGGGTCATTTTTTTTTTTTACCTGGATTATATGTGAGTGTTGCCTCCTAAACTTGCTGTGAGGATGAAATTATCTAATTTGATGCTTCCTATGAAGAAGTACATTTTAAACTATGGAGTCACTGGCAAAAGTATGCAGACAGGTGTTGCATTATGTGTAAGCCAAATTTTATTTATTTATTTATTTATTTATTTATTTATTTATTTATTTTTGAGATGGAGTTTCGCTCTGTCGCCCAGGCTGGAATGCAGTGGCACAATCTTGGCTCACTGCAACCTCTGCCTCCTGGGTTCAAGCAATTCTCCTGCCTCAGCCTCCTGAGCAGCTGGTACTACAAGTGCACACCACCATGCCCAGCTAATTTTTGTATTTTTACTAGAGACAGGATTTCATCATATTGGCAAGGCTGGTCTCTTGAACTCTTGACCTCATGATCCACTCGCCGTGGCCTCACAAAGTGCTGGGATTACAGGCATCAGGCACCATGCCCGGCTGAGCCAAATTTTATAAACAAAACATCAAGGTGGTCTTGGAGACCTGCACTTTGGCCTATGGCAACAGCAGTTCCACATCTTTCCTCTCTTGGCTTGAATATCGACAATTCTGTTGGAACAGGGAGGCTGCCCAGATGTTCTCGGGATGATGAAACTTCTCACTTCTATCATCTGCTCTCCTGGCCAAGTAATGGTCTATGAGGCTCTTTAATCATCTATATTAAAAAGTTGAAGAGGAAAGAAAGGTCAGCTTCTTGTGCTGTCTCCCTAGAAACTAAATGCTATCTGCTATCTCCCTCTCCCCTTCACACCTAGATTCAGTCCTCCTATGTCATCTGCAGATTGACCCCCACCCCACCCAATCACAACAGTGTCTACAATTCATGTCTTTCATTAAATAATTACCTTATCTGTTTCTCACCTCCTTCAAAACACAAATACATTCAAGAAGGGAAAGGAAATTGAGTCTCTAATACCAGAGTGTGCATAAGTGAATTAGATTCATGAGTTTTTATTCCTTCTCCAGAGGGAAAGACGACAGAGTGAGGACATGGTGAGAGAGCAAGTACTCTGTGGTTAAAAGGTCAGGCTTGAAGGATTTCACTGTTTCATAACTCTGTGATCTTGAACAAATTTCTTCATCTGTAAACTGAGGTTAATCATTAACCTCATTAGATTATGAGATTGGACTCATTGGACTATTATAAGAATCATTGGATTCCCATGAAAATTAAATAAGATGATGAAAGAAAAAGTAGCTGATACACCATTGTTGCTATGTGTTTCTCCTTGCATTCACACCCCATGAGAGCTTTGGGAGCCTGAAGGTGGCTTCTTAGAAAGAAAGGATCCTGAAAGGCTACAGAAAGACATTTTAAAAAGTTGTATTTTGTAATACTTGTAGTA